AGAATGTAGATGAGAATGTAGATGTAAATGTAAATAAGGATGTAAATGAGAATGTAGATGAGAATGTAGATGTAAATGTAAATAAGGATGTATATGAGAATGTAGATGTAAATGTAAATAAGGATGTATATGAGAATGTAGATGAGAATGAGATGAGAATGTAGACGTAAATGTAAATAAGGATGTAAATGAGAATGTAGATGAAAATGTAGATGTAAATGTAAATATAGATGTAAATGTAAATGCAAATGTAGATGTAGGTGTATATGTAAATAAGGATATAAATGAGAATGTAGATGTAAATGTACATGTATATGTATATGTATATGTAAATGCAGATGCAGATGCAGATGTAGATGTAGATGTAGATGTAGTGTAGATGTAGATGAAAATGTAGATGTAGTGTGAATGTAAATATATAATATTTCATGAAGAAGTGACAGATAAACAAACGATAACGTATTTAATCTCTCTGTCCCGACGTTCATATAGTATAACAGCATACCGAGTAAGTAACTGGTCTGCATGCAGCTGAATTTTAATTTGGTATTAATTTCTAATGTATATTTTGAATAAAAATTATACCATAAAAATATTTCCATATACTACACAATAAATTTCTTATTTTATTTCATTAATATGAAACTGTAACAGGTATTTTGATACGTCAGTTGCGTAAAGACATATGGGGTATATCCTTCGAGTCGCAGGAGTTAATAGGTCTGACATTTCCTAATAATTAATTATTATATATACGTGTTATTATTATTTAATAACTATCAGAAAATAATTAAAGTGTTCTTATCATTTTAAAGATACAAGAACAACATAATTTCCAGTGGCGTTAAAAATTTCTGGCTAGAAAAATATTTATTTGACTTTATAATATCGTACATGAATTTTTATCAAAATTACGTGTAAGGATAAGGCAAGCAAAATAAAATAGTACGAAATAGTAAGTAATTACATTACATTAAAATATGACCTGACTATTAGTTTTATTAATGTTTACTGTTAATTTGTATTTTTTGTGGTACTTACTCTGCCGATTTCACCACCTTTATACAAGTCCAAATCTGCTTCGAGGGCTCTCCGCGGGAATGATGGCAACTTCATCAATTCTTCATGCAGAAAGACAACCCTTTGCACTACCATGTCAACATTTTTTAATATCGCCCAAGTCAACAGAACTTTTCCAATTTCAACAAATTTGTGAACCAATTCCTGCCGTTGTAAAGCATTGTATGCATCTTCTGGTTTCATATGAACCAATTCGATTTCAGAAAATTGGGATCTACCCTTAAAAAAATAATAGTCTCGAACATACGATGATGGATTGCGAATTTGATCTGAAAGATAAGATAATAAATAAATAAATTGTTGTTTAATAATAAATAATAAATATATAAACTGTTGTTTTTTATCGTGCAAACATTATTAAAAACATATTTTCTTATCTTTCTCACATTTAGTAATTTATCTGGAATTATACTTTTCAGTAAATTGAACGTTTCATTTATTTGCAGTTTCTGAATAAAAATGAAGTTTAAACTACATTTATAAGCTCAATAACATTTAAAACGATTAAAAGAAAATAGTTTGTAGAATTCTTTTTAAGATGTCAAGAAGAGAAAGAGTACAAATTATGTGACAACATGTTTAAAATAATATAAATTGTGATACAAACGTGTTTTATAGTCGACAAGGAAGTACTCGCGCTGTTTCGATTCTTCTATGCCAAAAAAGTTTAAGGATTCACGAAGTATTTGACAAAATTGCGTATCTTCTTGTACTGGGAATTGCGACGGAATTCCTCCCGCGTCCGGGTCTTGGGGACCGTGAACAACAATTCTCTTTGCTGATGGAACATTCGCAGTTAATAAAATCGATGCATCACACTGTTCTTTCCGTAATATTTGCTTTAGATCTTTAAACATTATTCCGTGTACACTGTGTACCACCTACAAAACAATAGTTTTTTTTTTTAAATAACGATACTAATCTTTTATTATAATTTTATTATATTTGTATTAATTTCTATTATAATTGTATTACTAATATAGTAAATTGTAACTTTATTCTAATGGTAATTTGGAAAAATAATGTTGTAGCAATGATCTTGTAAGTACATCGTGATTATGGTTATTACAATGTTATGTTTAGTATATATTAGATAAATTAGTTTCGTGGATTTCATTATATGTATTTATGTATATGATATATGAACACCTTAGTGGTCAGATTCACATAGGTGACGTCACCTATTTGTAACGCTCAACACTTTGTATTCCCCGTAAAAAGAATAAAATTACTTTTACGTGTATTTTTGTCTAAAATCGCGACTCACAGTGTAACGCGCAGACAGTTGACGAGATTATTTTCTTAATTTTATTTTCATTTTATACAAACGATTTGCTGCATTTAATAAAATATTGTAACTACAAGATTGCTAGTGAAACAAACTCTGATCGTAAACTAATGTATGCTTCAAATGTATTTACCATCCATAATATAGATAGTGCAGTTCCTATTAATTTTTGACCTTCTTCGTGGGTGGAGCGCACATAAAACATTACGTATCCAATGATATAGTTGTATAAGGCAAAGGCAGCTTGTTGCGGCAACTTCGGCACGAAACGAATCAAGTGTCTTAAAATTTTAAACATGAGTTCCTGCTTGTCTCTTGTAAGACGTTCCAAAACGTAGCGGAGAAACAGTGCACTATCTTCCACCAAACAATTCCAGATCACCTAATAATATAAGACATCATTAGTGTTGCAGTCTAAAGATATATTTTTAATATTAAGTTATGTTACGCAAAACACATGTATTATTATTATGAGCAAGATAAGACTTAGGTACCAAAAGACTTGAAATACAATCTAATTTTTTAATCTATAGATCAAAATATCAAAAACTATAAATAAAAATAAAGGATATAAATTTCTATTCAGTTTTAGTTTTTGTAAAATAATTCATAAAAATTTTTATTTACAAGAACGTTTATCCAATTCGGATTATTTGGAATTTTGCCTATTATTTGTGCTGTACACGTTTCGGTCTTCAATCTTGAATTCTTCAAATTTATTTGAAATTATTCATTTTCAAGTGTGTTATAAATGTTGCTTTAGTGTTTATGGGACTACTCACACAAAGTCAGCATGTGAGATATTCCACTAACTAATGGATAATACTTTATTAACCCTTTGCACTCCATGGGCGCCTCTCAGTCGGTACTCGATTTTGTACAGCAAAATTATGAAGTATAGTTAATATTAAGCTCAGTATGACGCATTAATATGTGAAATATTGGAATAAAACAGCCTCTTTAGTTCATGTACGATTACTCGTTACGTTAGTTGTAGGAAATGTCGACTATATTTTATTAGAAAGTGTGTTGAGTAATTTAGGTAGAAAACTCTTGGAGTGCAAAGGGTTAATAAATAAAATTTTACTTGGACTCTTTAATTATTAATTTAACGCGTTCACGACGGGCTGCACCACTGGCGGTACATTCATGTTTGTACAAAGAAACGAGAGGCGCTACTTGTGGTACATGTACTATTGCTGCGTCATTGCAAGTAAAACACTGATTACTGTAATTAACAAATTTACTTATTTACATCTTTCTGTACATAAGGGAATTATTTCTCTTTGTCAATTTCCTTAAAATATTGCAAGCACAGAAGCGGTTGATTGTTGCAAGAAATACAAGTGAACGTGTTAATGTTCGTTTAATGCGTTACCTGATACGCGACTTCGTAAACTGCACTCCCATCATCAGAAACAGCAGCATCATCGAGTAGATGAATAATTTGGACGATTGCAGAACATAGGGAAGAGGGGAACAACGAGGGTGCAGATTGACTGTGGTGAGATGTATTCCGTGCTATTGTTTCACCTCCATCTTCGTCCCCGACGTTTCCTGTAGTAAAATGAACCCTTCATTGCTGTACAGTTACTGTTCCCTGAATGAATTTATGAATCCTTGTTTATAAATTTATTTGGACATATAATCGGATGCTGTGTGTTACATATAAATTTATTCCTTTATTATTCTTTATTATATCACTATATTATTATTATACTATCTTCAAAAAACTATCTTGTACAATTTATCACTTTGTTATACTAAAATTATATTTAATTCAGCGACCAATTATTTGGCAGACAACATTAAAAATAGAATTCATCATTCACTACCCTTCTTAAGAATTCCTTTACATTTAATTCCTATATAGGTTATTAGACATTTAAAAAACTATAGGTATATTTCACATATTTTTTCCATAAAAATATCTCTGTTTGCTACCAATTTTACTTTAATTCAAATGTGAAAAAGAAGGATTATTATTTTCTGTAAGCCTCAAATGATGAATTTTCATCAGTTTCAACATTCGTCTAAAAATATCTTTATGTTAAGATATAGTACATATTTTGACTACAAATTATATCAATAATAAGTCAACAGCATCCTGTACCAGAATTTATTTTATTTTTCAAATTTGAATCTGTAAAAGCAATTTTATTTTGACATGTCTTAAAGACGTACGGGATACAACTTTCGGGTCGAAGGGCTTAACACTAGAACTACCGTACTAGTCAAAATGACTGGTTTCGATTGTTTTGTTTCATAATTATTAATATCTTAAAAGCATTGAATATTCGAAATGATCTTGAAAACAAATAGCTTTGACTTGAATACTATAATGAATGTCTGAAGAAACCGAAAATAATCTATTGTTAGAATTTTTATAGGGATTAGATATCAGTCGTATTAAATCCTCGGTAGTTCTAGTGTTAAGCACGGCTAAACTAAAGTATTCGTTGAAGTATTAAACAATGAATTAAATCACGAAACAAAATTCGAACCCACTCACTGCTAAAAATCTTATCACCATCTTATTTGCTACGTACCTTCATCGTGGTCATCCCCAACAGGGCTAGGTTCGTACGCGGCTTGCACGGTAATCGGTATAGTCGTGATCAAAAAGTTCTCCCTCTCTTCGCGTTTCTTATCGTCTTGCGCCTGTAAAGCCTTTTTTATGAGTTCAGTTTGCTGCTTCTTACGAGTTTTCGTTGCCGTCACCAGAGACCTCTAAGTAATAGTCATAATATACTCTACTTAATCTACTGAAACCATCTAACATCTACACTACGGTAACTACTGATACGCCTCGGGAAAACTTACATGGTGCTCCTGATTGATAGTCACTTCCTCTACCTTCGTCTTCACCTGCGGCATCCAGGGTGGATCGACAACAGGCAAGGACTCGATACCGATCTTTGGTGAAGGCAAAGTGAATTCTATGCCAGGCGGTGGGACTTTGAATGTGAGGTGGGCGTTCTCTTCCATTCGAGGCCATACTTGATACCGTAGCTTCCAGAGGACTTGGAAGCGTAAGATCGCGTTTATTCGAACGCTCGTCAGGCTGTGTTGAAGGCCGTGGTGCATCAGCTCGCTCGCTTGGTTGGGAGCCCGCACAGCTCCAACTATGAAAAGGGACGCAGCAGATGCGGCGACCTCTTGATTCGACTCTAACAACAGCTCCCATGCGACAGGCAACACGTCGATGAATAATTCCTCCGTCATCACCACCGCCCCTTTCACCAAAGTGGCCAACGGTGCGTGGAACACGTCCTTCACTTGAGACTTGATGTACTTTAAAATTGCTGGATTCTCTTTCTCCGAGTCTTCTTTTCCGGATTTCGTCAGACACTCTTTCCCCTTCTCAGAATCTTGATCCGCTAGATCCTTCGAAGAGTCCCGCTGCGTTAACCGGCCGGATTGGGAACCGTCTATGTTCTTATCGATTCTATATCAAGGATAAAGATACGCGTCTTTAACACATTGTTGACCGGTCATGAGTTAACTGGTGCTTTCATGTTTAAACGTTGTTGACCGGTCACGAGTTACCTTGCGTTTGCACTTGCATTAGCTGTTTCAATTTTTGAAACGCAGGGCAATATAGAATATTGCAAAAGCAAAATATTCGATCTAAAACGTTGGTTCAAAGTTTCATTTCCATTCATAATGTACAAATATGGTATATCGAAGAATATTTCGATTGTTTCACTTTTGTATTTAATTACGGAATAATAATCAGTGACATGGAATAGTTTCTGCGTAAAATTGCCGGTCAACAATGTGTTAAGAGACATGACACTAAATTTCGTTGGAAGCTGTTGAACACTGAGTACATTGATTTACTGTCAGTCGTGAAAGTCTATGTATTTAAGTCTGATAAGGGGATCAAAAGCGAGTTTGAATCAAATTATGGCGATAGTGAAACGTTAGGTAGCTTAACCCTTTTGGTATTGAATACTGCAGTGTCTATAATATACCAGTGCAGAATAATTTTGAATAAAATAGTTTTATTCAATTTCCAACATTTTTAATTCTAATGATTTCTTAATCTAATAATTTTTATTCTAGAAGTTAAAACTTCGTGAATCAGTGGTGAAAGTGGGGAAAGACTCTTTCACTGGAGGTGACACTTCAGCAATACCTACAAATACCTATTGTTGAACTTCCATGCTTGCACACTACACCGAAAGGGTTAATAAAGAATTTTGCGACAAATTTTGTTCATCTTAATCAGGAAGATAACTGTAGAAAAAGTTCGAACTGTAAAAACTTCAATGCCAGATCTAATACAACTTAGTTATTAGGATACACTAAACAATTTCTTTTAATAGTTTGGTTGAATATTTTAGTTGTAAAAAGTTATAAACCTGAAATAACATGAAATACTCGCTCAATGAAGAAAATTTAAAATTCGAAGGATAATATACATTTATGTACGAAACACGTCGAAAGTATCGATTTTAAACTTTTTTTACGTCTTGTGTTAGTAAAGAATTAAATTAATACTGAAAAATATTATAAATTTCTGAATATTTAATAAAGTATATGTTAAATCTAGAAAAACAACAAAATCGAATAATCTGATTTCTTCCCGTTCAAGGTAAAGTATTGAAACTTCATGTAAAATATATTTGTTAACCAACTCTTTTAATAAACACTTTTAACTCCTTCATTCGACCGAACTCTTTGAAAATTAAATTAAATGATCATGTTTTAATTAGTAAGTTCATTTTGAACATTTTACAGATGTTTTTTCATTATTAATATAAACAATACTCCTAACACGTGATATGTACTTTCACTTATTGTATCATGCAAATCATATCATATTATGTCATGCAAAACGTGTGCAACAAATTTAACAAATTTTAATACTAAATATCATGCAAGTTTTCTGACAGGGCACTAAAGTTATAAACATATTTCCCAAATATATAATAAATTCAGCAAGAAAATATCTGATTTCTCGAAATAGGTAATAAATGTTGCAACTGTTAAAGAAAGTGGAAATTTTCGTGTAAGGTTTACTTGTATTTTTTTCCTACGCTGTCCTTTCTCCGCACAGGTGATACTTGAGTGCTGGTTTGCTCCGATACCTTGCGACTGCGCTTTTCCTTTTTATTGGCATCTTTCTTTTCAGTGTCGAAGTCGAAGATTCCTGTACCATTCAGAATTCCAAACTTTTCTCCATAAATCTTTCTTACAGACTTGATTAACCTACTGCTAGCTCGCATTTGACGCCGATGGCAATACGGGTGGCAATAGTTCTGATGAGTACAATAGAAATTCAAGGAGTTTGCGAATTGAACTAGAACTTTCATCCACGGAAAGTTTTTATTAGTTTCGTCTGTTTCATTACTGTCGCTGGGACTCTCTGGTGGTTGATCATCAATGAGTATTCCTGGAGATTCTTCGCCACTAATTTCACCACAAAAACCAGGTTCGGATGTGTCACTTCTGTCTGACAACGAGCTCACTTTCCTCTTCGATTGGATGGAATCAGCTCGTTTCACTGCAACTGATAATTAATCATCGTGTTTAACATATTGTATGCAAGAGACGTATTAGTATATTTTTCTTTTGGTATCACCGAGTAATAGTAAATAAATGTTTAAATTTATTTCATTAACCTTTTCATTAAAAATAAAAAATTGATTTTTTTTCGTATGGTCGAAGGTATTTCTATTTGCAATGAAAACTCCCGAAAACGTACTGAATAATAAATAAATGAGTTAAATATAATTGATATAAGCTGATTTCATCAAAGTGGCTTGCATATAATGTGTTAATAAATTCCTATAATAATTTACATGTTATGTCGGCATTGTAGGGAGTGTCGCTATAATGGTAACACTTTTACAGAATATTCTGTATCCTAACTTCGAAATCGTCAAAAATCCTTCTCATAGACATGTTCTCAATGCAAAATAAAGGTACAGGTAGAATATTAGTCCAATCAGAACATAAAAGTTTCCGAGAAATACACTTTTTTACCAAATTTACATCTTAATCTTGGCATCGCCAAAAATTTATCTCACAAACATTATTTCTATCTAAAAAGGACCTCTGTGTGTGTGTGTGTGTGTGTGTGTTCTTGTATTTATTTATTAATTTATTTATGTCACTTTATGTTCAACATGGACTATATATGTAGACGACAGAAGTAACAGACAAATAAATAAATCCACTCTTAAAAAGTTGCCATTCTGCAGATACCTTGGAATTTGGGTTCGCAAGGTAAAGATAATTAATATATGTACATAATTTGAAGTGTAAAAATCGTTAGTAATATGAATGTAATATAATATTAAATTCACTAATGTTATGAGTTTGCATTTTAGTGCACAAAAGATACTGATTCGTACACAATGTATTTTATTCATAACGAATGTTTGTCATGTGACATAAAACTTTCTTTTGTTTTGATACTCACATGCTTCACATTCGGTGTCTTTGCCCTCCTTGGTGTCGCGGCGAAGTTTCAAACTTCTTTTCTTAAACGAACCGGTCGTATTATCCGTGGTATCGCGGCGAAGAAGAAATGGCCGACCTTGCGGTGGTTGTACGCGCTTTGCCTTCTCCTTTTCAGCATTCTGGAAATCCTCCCCTTGAATTGTAACAGTCGATTTGCTACTACCATCTGATTGGTTATCAGGTTCGCAAACAACAAAACTAATTTTGCGTTCTGCTGAAAATTTAATCCAGAGTGATTAGATTAAGTGAATCAGAACAACGTAATGTTCCTTCACTAATACTTACGAGAAGAGGATCAGGAGTCGAAATGCGGTTCTTAATGAACCACACTTCAAACGTAGGTTACGGAAGTTTGTATAAAACACATTCTTTGCTTAAAAATATTAAAGGATAACTTTTAATTTCAATAGAATTGGATAAGTAATTCCTCATTCGAACAAAAGGAAATTTCAATACGCAAGCTTTGAATAGTATACATGCCGAAAATGAAATTAAAATACTAGATCGTTTCTCATTTGTAGGAAACTTTTGATTTAGTTAGAATATTTATGTGGCATATATTCATATAATCCTTTATTTAAGATTGAAAGACATTGAATAATTTAATATTAATTTTAATATGAGTTAAAAATGGTACAATAACGATTTAGTGTGCATTGTTTAAAACAAATACTTATAATAGTACATTTCGCCTATGTTTAAATTAATGATAATTATTTACAACACTGATTCCACTCCGATTTGGATGATCTTAAAATATATTGTGGGGGAGTTGATTCTGAACAACTTCTCACTATACATGTTACTATTTTCAAATAAGTATTTTTAAAAATACAAATTAATATTTTTATGTTAGCAGAATTATTCCATTTTAGAATTACTTCAGAATTACTTTGACAAAGTATTATTTATTTGTATACAGGGTAAGAAAATGAGTTAAAAACAAATGATTTCGTTAATGACGAATTTCTAACAGAAGAAACAGACACTTAGCTTTGGAAAAGATAATGCGAAATATTTGTCTTCAATTCTTGCAAAAATAACGAAAAAAAAGTATAAAAAAAGTGTTTCATAAACTCCAAGTTAAAACCTACGATCTAAAGCTGGGCTCATTACAAAACGTATTTCTCCTTCTGACCTTTTCCTTGTTAGCATGTTTTCTCTATAATGCAAGTGTACTTCTAATTAAACTTAAATCATATAGAATGGATAAGTATATAAAAATATTTCCAAAACGTTGGAGACTTAACATAGGTAGGCGGAATAGAATTAGAAAAAACTTAAAAATGAAATAGGCAGAAACGACAAAAAGCGAAACGAAGCTGGCGATAAAAGTGATAGAGGAAAGGAAAAAATTTGAAACGTAAATATAGAAAGATATCTATTAAAGAATAAATAGATTTGGAACGAGTAGTAACTGTATGAAGAAGGCTATTAATAAATATTAACACGATGAACACCGTACACATTTTTTAGTCGCAGGGAAATTTTTCCTGCGAGATTTTGTGCGTTTTAATCGATGCATGTGCAGTAGTAGACACTTTCGTTCATTAAAGACATACATATGTACACGTTTGTTCGAATGAGTGTGAGGCATGAAAATTGAAATTCATGGTCGAGAAAATTAATGACCGATATGAATCATAATTTTATTCTGTTTTCATTTAATGAATAGTCATATATTGTGTGTTATAAGCAAAACATAAATCAAACAATGGCCTGTCAAGAAATTTTCATTTTACATATGATGGATTTTAACATATTAGAAAAAGAAGAGTTCTGTGTATTGTATATATTGTATAGTATACAAAAGAATATTAAGATAATAAATTACAGGAGGATAGCAGATTGAAAGATGTACTTCATTGTTATCATATTTCTTTCGTCGCATAAAACCAGTGTATAAGTATGAAAGTAATTAAAAAATTAAACACATAACATATATAGAGGTATCATTTATCCTTTTTGTAGAATGGTTCCCAGATTTGTTTCATTTGCATATCACTTGACAACTTGTGTTTCTAAGTTATATATTCATACTAAGAAAATATTTCTAACATATTGCATATACCAAATGAAAAGTAATGGAATTAAAATGAATTCAAGGTAACAAACAATTAAATTGTGATAAACAATAAGTAATAATAAGTAACAAAAAATTCAAATGTAATACAGGGAAAAGTTTTCAGGTTTTGGATTTTATATTCGACAATATATGTACCTACGAACGTGGAAATAAACTTTTCAGTCCTTATGAACGCAAATAAACGAATAAGCGGGGAAAAATGTATAACCTGAAAGAAATTTACAAAAACTATGTATATATACATAAATAAAATATTTCGTACAGTTATTAACTCTTACAGAAATGCATATAAGGTGTGTCAAGATAGGTGATAGAACTGGGTAAGAGCTTACGTATTTTATATGTCAAAACAAATTGAAAAACAGAGACACAGTTTCCTTTCGGTTAAAGTTCTATTTTCGGGAAAATCTAATTTGAAAATTCATTAAATATACATGTTATTGAATGAGAACTGGTAATTATTTTTTCTATTTATTTTCTTTTACCGCTTCTCTGCTGATATAGGTAAATTAATGCATATATTTAGAATAAGACGGTCAGAAATGGCCCATTTTATTTAAATAACTTTTTTATATCATGAATATCATTAGTACCGAACAAAAAAATATATTTATAAAAATAAATACATATAAAAAAAATAGTTAAGTAGGCTTCTGTGCACGATTCAGTATGGAACGAGTTAATTTGGTCATATTGAATTTTATAAACATTATTTGGTAAATTTTTGGGTCGATTTTGATTGATGCAGTAACGCAAATATGAACGCTAATTGTTTACTTTTAACCAGTTAACTGCGTTTGACGAGTATACACATCATCTTAAAGCTTGAAATGATAATAACAGGTTAAATCTCTAATTTCCAAATTCTAAATGAACGCATATCAATTTTCCTAAGAACGATAGAACAAACTGTACAGTAAATGTATGTAAATCTAGTGTTAACACTCTAAATAATATTAGCCTATTTCACCTGGAATTACCCTACTTGAAGAAGTTTTCATCGAATTTCTTGCAAATGTAATCTCAAAGGAAAGATTTTACACAAATGTGTCAACACTCTTTACATGTAAAGAAACCTCTTGCTCAGTTGTATCGTTTATCCTGATACACCCTCTATATGAGCGTGTTACATTAAAATCATATTAGTTTTCTACGTCTATTTTGAATGATCCCGCTTTCGTTACTTACCGACTATCGACTGGAGGCTTTGAGCTGACGTTTGAGAATGACCCATCGACGAAAGTGCCATGCTCCATCGTCGAATTGTTTCTCTGGGTTGCGGATGTTCTTTCGTTAAAAGTTCATTAAATTTTGGCAAGGTTTGATAAGTTTCCCGTAAAAACGCGGTCACTTCCAATAGTAGAATGCAGGCAACGAGACGTAGCGCGATTGGACACTGAGATCCGTAAGCGTTTATACTTGCTGAAACGCAATTTCATATTAACAATCCAAATTTTTCTTATAAAACAGTATCATTATACAAGGTACCTACAAATTCAAAGATTTTTTAAAGAAAAGGAATTAATGAAAAATAAAATAAAAATTAATGTGCACAAAGTATCAGAGAGGCATATGGACGTTTCAAATAATTCTAAAATTTTTATTATTTTCTTAGTTTTCATATGACTATGAAATCATTTTTTAAAAATGAAATGCTACATATTTTTCTCCATAATATGAACATTTTACGCCTTTTTAAATGAGTACAACGATGTGCTATATGAGCTCATGTTTTAATTAATACGTGAAGTAGGGATCGTTGGCTAGAATCTAGAATCTAGATTTAACGCTTTGGGTTCTCTTATTAATATACGGCTATAAATTCTATTACATCAAATAACCTGATTCCACTTGAAAAAATTAAATTATTAATTGCCTAATCTTTCCAACAATATCGCGTTATGCTATGTTGATATTATTGCCAGTAGTTACCTTCGTCAAGAAAATCTTCTTCTTCATCTTCAATAATTAAGTCTCTCTGTTTGCTTTCGTCAGAGATCATCGCTGTTACTTGATCCATATTCTGCTTATCCTCTAATAATAGCTCTTCTAGACGTGCACCAATTGCCTGTTAAATATACATTTATTACTATGGGCTATTAGAAAAATAAAGTACGAAGGAGTTACTAAAGAATCAGTTCTGTACATAATGTTAGTTACGATGTTTATTGTTTTTAGTGCGTCATATATTAATATAGTCGACTAACACATTGCGCATTATTTTAAAAATTATTACATTAATATATTGATAATTATATTGGATTATAATCCATAACCAGTAAAACGAAAGAGCTTATTTGTAATTCGATTTAAATTAACTAAAAAGTAAAGTTACCTTTACTGAAAGAAGATTTTTCTGAAAAAAGATAATAATAAAAGATCGTAGAAAATAATAAAATATACCTCTGCCCACTGGTAAAATAGTTTCCCAGCAGTACGCTGCGTCACGTGTAATCTCGTTACGACTGTGGACGTATTTTGGCTATTCATGGGCACCGATGGACGAAACATCGGGAAATTTAATTTCATCCAAGTTGGCCATTGACCCTTATTGCACAGATGAACAAAATGTGCACACTCTAGCAATAGACATGCACGCGCCACTACAGGTGCATATGGCTACAAAGAAGATTTATGTATCATAAATAACAATTTATAGATCTCGATAAATTAATATTTCTGGTTTTATCGTAAGATTAACAAAACTTCAGAGGAAATTTAATATTATGCTTTAATATCGTGTATAGGTAAAATGTTTTTACGAGGTCTAAAATGGCCGCCATTAGGTAGTGGTCGGGAACTGAACCCGGTTGGCAAGTTTCTAGCAAGAATGAGAATCTTAGCATCCCATCATGGACAGCATTACGAGGTACCAATCTCCTCTCTTTCAAAACAACAAATTCAGATTCTCTTGATGCTTCGCCGGATTCCAAAGAGTTTCTTCTACTGAAATCTACATACAATAAAATTATAATTCGAAACATTCTTAATGCTTGTCTTGTCAATATTTGTGTTACGTTGACAGTGAAATTCATTAATTTCACTTAAATAATAATCCAAAAAGAATTTATTAAATTATTTTACTTGGAGTCACTTGTTCTATTACAAGTGTAATTACTGTTTAACAGACTATTAAACAAATATCAGTACGTAAACTGTTTATTTGACCTACTCAGTAAAGTGTATAATCTATTATGTACTCACAGCTCCCAGGTGCCTCTTCTAAACTCTCTTTCTTTTTACTCTTTCCAAAACCGATTTTCGTTAAAGGATTTTTCATTCGACGTATTGCCTTTTGGAAAGTTGAACCGACGCTTAAATATAAAAAATACATATTATTGTTGTTGTAGTTATTATTATTGTTAGATACAATTTTGTATTTCCGAATAAAAGGAAAAAGGAGGAGAAGAAATGCTGGAAGAACAAGTATATAATATACTTTAAAAGTTCCTGTGTGAGGAAGAGAAAATTTCTGTTTACTTTAGTTCAAGTGATAGCTACAGCCTGTCAGATTATAAAGCTCTATAATTTTTGTATCTAATGCAAATTTCAGCAATTGCAATGATGTCAACCATGCACAGCAGTTTTTGAATTCTCGTAGAACTGGTATAACTTCGGATTGAATAAATGGTTTTTCTCAAAAACATGTTTAAATATTCCTGATGTATACGGTAAAAATTCTATAATATTTCAAAATGATATGTTTAATCATTCTGTCTAAAAAGAAACCCGAAAATCACTTCGTTTCTTGGTCCTCGCAATAAGAGAACCTCTTTTAATACTATACACATATAACAGTACTATTTAGAATACTATATAAAAGAGAAAAATGTAACATGCGATATTAAAATTATCCGCAGATTATACAAGCTGAGTAAAAGTGATATCAGTTGCAAATAATTATAATATTACGGCTTGTTTATGGATTAACTTACCTGTGTCCTGATGCAGATGCACTACGATAATGACCATAATGAAAACTAGGTTGCCTAACAAAACTACCATCTGTCGGTGATTCACTGCTTTCGTGACTATCGGTAGAATCGGTTCTGCCATTTTCTTTACGAAAACAGTTGACTGAAATTAAGTACGAAAAATAAACTTCTTGATTCTTACTTTATATTAATATTCTACGAGCAATTATAAGATTCGAATTTCATGAAAATATAGATTTTTAAACGACCAAATTACAAAAATTAAAACCACACCAATTTCTCTATTCCTTTAAGATTTTCATTATTCTCCACTTTCAATAAATTTATTAAAAAATAGATTAAAATGAAATGTACTCGCAACTGAATATCTGCAGGGTAGCAATTATAATTCGTCTGATATATATGATGAATACATACCCATGCCACCAATTTGAAAACGGGTCGATTTTCGAACTTTACCAGAACCTAGTGATTCTATTCCTAAATTGCGTTCGCTTTGTCTTGGGGTGAGTATGTATTGTTTCTTTCTTAAATTCACTAAAGGACTCTGGCTGACTTTCGCATTCTCTTCGCTGAGTTCTGTTTCAAGAAGACTCTAAAATGATAAACATAATTTGCGTCAATTTGTATGGAAATGTACATACCAGCCACAATGACTCATATATTTGTTCAGGTATTGTTTAAATAATAATTAAATGTGAGAGTCGTGTGCAACAATCATCTATTTACTTCTGCTACTATTTGCTTAACACGTTCGCTATCAATGTCATATATTCGTGACGGCCAATATTTCATATTTTGTGCGAAGAATAGTGAATTAAATTTACGTGTGTTTTTATCTAATATTGTAACGCCTGGTATAATTTACAGAAAGTCGAAGAGATTTTCTTTTCTTGTATATCATTCGTGTTTTGTAAAGACGATACATTTTATTGAATAAAATATTGTAATCATGGAGGCTACTATTGAAACAAATCCGGTAGCGAATGTGTCACGAAAAGATTTTGCTGTGATATGGACATATTTCTGAGTCTTAACCCTTTGAATTCTGTAGGCTCCAATATTGCACCAGTTATAATATCAAATATTTTAAGGAATCAAAGAAACTGCCCTAAAATCATTAGATTTTCCACTCATCCAAATTTTGTACTGAGAAAGAAAACAAAAGATCGAAGGAATGTTATAGCATTTTTCATTTTCACTAGAGATACCATAAACATTAGTTGCAGTTGCTGATAAATTACGAAATCATCTGGAGTGCTAAGCGTTAATGTAAAGTTGAAATTTTATATGCATTTCGAACATATAAATGAAACGACACTTTTTCGTAAACAAATATAAGAGACAATTCGTAATCATTAATACGTACTGCACATGTCGAAGATGTGCTTCTTTTCTTGAAAAGAAACTTTCGACTTCCTCTGTCGTCTACAGTATAGCATGCATCACCACCAATGTCCGCGTGTTCTTCCAAATCTGATTGATGTATATGCCTGAAATTATTATCATCTTTATTGCAACGAAGTATATTTAACCACGTGCATTGATAAGATAAATATTGACAAAATAACCATTTTCTGTTTGATATTATAAATATTTGGATATTGAAGTATTTGTAACTCTTAAGGATTGAAATGCTTGAAAGTAATTTTTTTTTAATGAATATCGTAATCCCGTTTATTGTTAATATGAAATAATATTCAGAGTATATGAGACAATTATTGAGACAGAAGATAATGCCGCCCAGTGGACAAGTGTCCACTCTCTAAGTAGAGATGAAAAAGCTGTCGACTTCATTATATTGAATTTACGTAAAACCCGGCTCAATCATGTTAAACGGGCCGAGACCTCATTAGACGTATGGGAAGCATTGAGAAACGATTCACCCCGAGGTTTGGGGCGAATTGGATATTTCTCACAATCCAGTTTTTTGTTTATAACAGGAAGATTTTTAAGTATTCGAACAATTTTTTTTTTACTAATAATAAAGCGGAATGTCTATTAATAAGAAATTTAGGAAAAAGATGTTGATACTAAGTTTTAACTGTTATTTTTCCACTGTTAATTTGAACTGATCTAATTCGCTTCGGTCTACCCTATTAGATTCCTAAGAATCTTCGGAAGCAAAACAATCGCGTTGGAAAAGGGGCCAGGAATCAACAAATTCATGCCAGAAGGTAAGAAGTACATATTGGTTGGATGTTCACAAGCGTCTAAGGCGTATAGGCTATGGGACCGTGGAATGAGACACATCGTTTTAATAAGAGATGTACGAAGACATAGGAAATCACATAATGGAAAACGAGGACATATTTATAGCTACGACGGAAAATAAACTGTCGGAAGCAGACATTTTAGAAGAAGATATATCGGAAGAAGAAATCAGGGATGACGAAGCCATGGACGAGAATAAAACGCCAATTGGGAGAAGAACGAAAGGTCGTCTGAAATTAATATGAACTGGAAAAAGAGGTAGGCTGAAAAGGTTATTCCCCACCATGCACTAAATGTTAACTATGTAGGTACAGTATATGGAGATAAGAACGGTTGCCTAGGTCATGAACAGCGGTCAAAGACTATAACTAGCTGCTACGGAACGAGAATACGACTCCTCTATCTGAAATGGAACATGGGAACTAATAGACAAACCAAAGAACTCCAAAGTACTCACTAACAGGTGTGTATTCAAAATAAAACGGAACCAAGATGGAACAATAAACAAATTCAAAGTAAGACTCGTAGCCCATGGAAACGAACAGAAGAGAGGTATCGATTTGGATGAACTTACATCTTACTAGTAGGAAGAGTAGAAAATAGAATGCATGTGCATCGCATTGGTGTGGCTCCTGCATACATACTCATGTATACAAAATTCAGTATACTAGTAACGGAGGAAACTAAACACTTCCATTGATAACATATAAAGGAAAAGGTTGTTCAAAATCGTGTCCCCTTACAACATATTTGAAAATTATTTAAATCAGAGAGGGCGTAGCACATCGGCACCTTCACCATTAACACGTTGGACGCCATTGGTCACCGGTGACCTCTGCTCAAATTCAATTACTGTAATTCCCTCAATTAAACGACGAATATTTGAAAACAATAATATATTGTAAATAACGCTACCTAATGCGGTGACATTCAGCAAAATAAACCTACGATAATAACAAGGCAGTGCAATTAAATAATTTAATATTGTATTTTTTTCATTTCGCATATTCTGCATCTTAAAATTGTGCGGCATTTAACATATTAAATTAGAAAGATGCGTTGATATGTTAAACTTAAGATGTTAGTGTGTAGTTGCAATACAAAGTTTATGCTTTCAAATTATGTATTTTATTAGGAATAGGTTAAAGGGAATTCTATACGAAATTATCGTTTAGAGTGCACTTTAAAGGGGAAGTGTTCGGACTTTCAAAGTGTCCGTGTAAGAAGTTTGAGAAGGCGTTTGTCTTTTGATGTAAAAGACCGTATTATACCGTCGCCAGGATTTCCCGGGAAAAATCCAAAACAATCATCACCATAATAGAAAGTATAATACGTTATCAATAAATTAAGATGGGAATATAAAATTTGTAATAAATTATTTTCAATTATTCAGAGTACATCTCGGTTTTTTCATTTTCTCTATGAATTACCTAACGTAATGTAAAATACATATGAAGATTTATTTAGGAATCTCTTACCTGATGACACGGGTCGTTTGAACATTGCTGTTACACCGTTTATTAGGTCGATCCGCGGAGTCGATGATCCCGCTTAATATGACGCGGCGGAAAATGCCGCAATGGACTTCTTTCACATAAGCCATAAATTGGCGAAGATCACAGTATAAACTTATATTTTCCTGGGACTTCAATTCCTTCAGCGATTTGACGAAACGCGAGACCAGCGGTTTGAAAACGCAATTAAAAATGTGACCCTCTATGCCACGCGTATTGTGACAGCCGGCAGCGTAAGTCGCGGCAATGTTCGTAGAAGCTGCGGTCGTCATAGTTCCCGTGCCACTTACATTCGAATTACCGAGTGTACCTCCTATAACCATCGAAGTTCCCATCAAATTCGTTCCATAATTCGTTACATATCCAGCTTGCGAGCCAACTTCCGGGGACTTGCTTGATCCCCGTTTTTGATCTATCATGGAATAATCAAAGAGAAGTTGTTGAAATATGCAGAAATTAGAATTCAAGGGCAACGAAGCATCTGCGATGTAAATGTTGACGCATCAACAATTAAAACATTGATGTATAATACATACATAATTTGGTCAATAGCAGAGGTTTCTAAAAAAACACACACCATACATTTTGAAATGGTATTTTGAATAAAATTTCCAGTGTTATTAAATATTTTTAGAAAGAATAGTAAAAACGTATTCTGGATAGAACGTTGAAAAGAATTCCCGATAGGGTTGTAAAATGAAATTTACTGTTTCAAATCAAATTGAAATTAAGAATGCGACGTTTCTATTGATAAACACATTAATGAGAATATCGAGTAGCTTGAAAGCGAACAAATACACACGGAGCTATTTTCGTTTCCCCCGATTTACTCACTAAGTGGAGATAGCAACGAACATGGATCCACGCAGAATCCAATGAATGCGTGAAAGAATTCCAAAATTTCTGGTATTGGTTGTTCCCGCACCATTGTTCTCAGGAATCGTGAAAACTGCTTCGAACTGGCCCGGTGCAACTTGCTAAGGATCGTTTGTGCTTGCGAACGGCAAAAATCTGCATGGGGTCCGCGTATCCCTTCCGAGCAGCTGTGAGGACAGCCTAAGTGTTTCACTACTCTGATCACGCAACTCATAAGAAGACTGTGAGATAAGGATTTATTCTTGTTTGTCGCATTTTGTCGTGATTCTTGCTCGTTTTCGGAGGACTCTTTCTTCTTTCCACCTTCTAACTTTTCTATCACCGTTGTCGAATCTGAAAATAACGAGATTGAATGTTACGTGCTATAAGCATCGTTAGTAATTACATTATCTCTATATATAGAAATATATATTTGAAAATCTTAATGTTTTATTTAGATTTTAAGACATTAAATTTTCAATCAAATCTATAATATCTAATATTTTATAGTATTATACTCATGTTTGATATAGTAAATGGTGTATACTTCGAATAAATATAGATTACATTTATATGCATGTACTGCTGCAATTTAATTAGACATTATTGTATGTACTAAATTCACAATATGTATGAGTACGCACAAGTATATAGAATCATCAGTTGTTGGACGAATGCTAATGTAACTGATGTAACGTGTTGCGACTGAATTTGGAAGGTTCGATTATATAGTTTAATTTCGTAATAATCAAACGTGAAATTTGCAATAGATGGAAAACAGTGAAATATATCTGCATAAAACTTCAAATATTTTACAGAAAAAAATTGCTAGTTAGTCGCAACTTGACGATCATGGTTTACGGTTTATGTATCACTTAAAATGAAATAGACAATGTGAAATAATAATTTATTCAGCTCTGCATATAGATCACTGATTCCCTAAAATTATCATACCTGCAATACTGCCCGTCATCTCTTCACGAAGACACTGTTTCATTACTCCCATATCCATTAAAAGCTCCACCAAATTTAAAATATTCTCGCACACTCGCAAGGTGCAGCAGTTGCTATCCCGCATCGCAACGGAGCGCACAGCCTAACAAAACGTTCAGTAAATAGACAAAAATAGTTGGGTAAAATGGTGACACACTATTTACAAATGAAAGAACCTACCTTTAGAACTACGTGTAGGTCGATATCACCTTCCTTGGTGATGTAACAGGAAGACCCGGGTGCTTCCGGAACTTCGTCGCTACCATAAGTGATATTAGAGTCTGTCTGTGATCGTGTAAGGCTAGGTTTTCTTTCGGAATCTAAACGACTACCACGCATACTGATTACGTCTAATTGACTGTCGATCGATGCCTAGAAAGAAAATAACAAATGTAATCAATCAGATACACATTTAATGAGAAACAAGGGGAGGATGCATTACATTTTATCTTCGATGAGATTGCTTATATCAGGATTGACCTTTTATGTCCTGAATTAGAATCCTCGTTTTATACTACCGCTTCTGTTTTAAAACTCTTTAAGTGGAAATATTTGCAGTTGCACTTCAAATTAAATGGAAATAAACCAGGAAGAGGAATATTAATACAGTGTTTTCAGGATATAAAAAGTCAAGTATAATGTTTTACATGTTTCAAATAATTCTAAAGGATTGATGTCTCTTTTTGTAAACTTTCAAACGTTATTTTTCGATTCACGCGGGGGACTGAAATCATGGAATTATAGGTATAAACAAATAGCTACGATAGTCTTCTGTGTTTTTGATAGGTTTGTTGTGTACAGAGTGTATAGAATAGTGTTTGATACGCTTCCTCGAGTTCTCTTGACTTTGTTTATATTAAATGTGTGTTGTATTTCATTCCTGAAATATTATAAAACAGTGTTAATTTCCGGGATATGATTTTAGTGCTGCATATTTATTACTAGACTGTGGAGTTTTATGCTATTATAGCTATGTATTATTTCGTAAAAGTGAGATAGAGTAGGATTATATTTTTTTTAAGAATTAGGTAGTTAAGATAATTTAGAATTAATATAGAATAAGATTAAATATTTTTAAAGATATTAAAAAATATATTTATTAATTTAACGATATTGTTTATAAAAAGACGTATAAAAATAAATGATAATTCACGTCAATACGTTACGTAGCCTTACTATATAGTATGTGGTTGAGGTTATTATAAATACATAAAAATTCACAGTCCACTCACTAGTATCTATATAATCGTATAAACATGTCCAGGATTCCAAGTTTTATGAGAAATTCGTATATTACAACTATACACTGTAACACTATATTCCTTTTTCTTAAATGCCTTACTGATTGATCTTATCATATTAGAGAATTTCTCAATTATACCTCCTTCTAGGTACGTAACAGCAGATTCCACACATTTATTCGTTTACCACTAACAAAAGCTTTCAAGAAGCAATAAAATATGAAATTCAGAAGAATTTGGCATAGTTCTAGATTATTTTTAATCTACTGTAACCATAACTATAGAAAATCTGGTTCTATCCGTTTTCCCTACATTCGTATATAAAATGTACAGCATAAAAATGCGCTGTCTACGTATCAGCGATGTCTATAAGTGAGACTACACGTGGCAAGTTTTCCTTTCTGGTACCTACTTTGAACCACTATGGAACCAGTATTACTTTATATTGCATACTGAAGAATTGAACATACAGATTCTTTTTTAAGTTTTTGTTTTGGCGAGCTAAAGAAGATATTGAAATCGGTGTAATTGTGAAAGGATTGATCGCATATAAAAAAGTAAGCTGGAAATAAACGACTTCCTGTCATATGATACTTCGTTTCGGAAGTAATTATGTTTGAAACTTCGAGTCAATTCATGTATTGTTAAATACAAATAGCTGATCCAGCTTTTATCTTTAAGTTCTCGAGGAAAGAAGCTTTTGTGAAATGTGTTTAGATTAAGTAAACATTAATATTAATAATATTAGTTAATGGAATTGTGATATTAGTATTTAATTAATTCAAGAATATTTCTTACAAGCATTTTCTTCTCGAGAATTCAGAAATAGTAGTTAAACTATTTATTTATAAAAAAAATATTATTCTCTCTAAAATATATAATATATTTGTTTTTTATATAATCTATTTTTTTCAATTTACTTTTCTATGTAGAGTCTCCCTCTTTTTCGTACTATTATGATTTCGAAAGAACCCTGAATATTAAAGAATAGTAGACGGATCACCTCAGCGCTCCATTGTTATGTTTGTAAATACATTTGTTTATTAAACCTAGCGTTAATTGAATTCATCAATTTAGTTTCAATACATTAATAATATTCAACGTTATTCTCAATGACTAAATGCAATATCCATCAAATCCCTTTCCCTTTGCGTTAACTAATTATCACCGACTACTGCAATGTTTTTAACCAATTAAACATTCGACGACAGTAATCGTTCGAAATGAACAATGTGTAAGTCATTAATCCTAACGACAAAAATTAACTAACGAATACATTGATTTGACGAATTTATAGCCTGAACTATGGCCTCCCGATTTCTTATTACCATCTTTACTTCATACCTGGAGACTTGACTTAACTTTTACTAACGTGTGTACTGCACGAATGTATCATAAGCATATAAAGTTTTGTAAAATTGTTAAACTATACATACACGTGGTTATGCATGAAATAATAGTAAAATAAAATCCAATCGTACTTGATTAGTAGCAGCAATGTAACGGAAGTGATGCTTTAAGATATCTTCAAAGCATAAAGTGATGCTTCAAAATGCCTTCGAAGCGTAAAGTAATATTTCAAAATGCCTTCAAAGCATAAAGATAAGAGGTAAAATTGCAAGCACGGACATTTTGCGCTGAAAGTTTCACTTTATCAAAGGACATTATTTATGGAATGACTTGATAATTGAAATGATAGTGTAGCACAGGAATTCGGGATTATATGTAATTTGTTCGCTTCCTACCTGTCGCTTCATGTAATCCGGGGATGGAGTGGGTGTGTGTTCCGTGACGGTGATGATAGGATTCGGGGCGGTGTATGATTGACTATAAAACCGACTTTGCTTCCTCTCAATACGAGTGTCGCCGATGTACCTACAAGTTAGAATTCATCAGAAACCTGGCATAATATACTTCCGCGCCAACTCTCCCATGCTACTACCCTTGGCAGAAAGTGTTTGATCAAAGACATGAACGTGGTCGCTGAAGTAATTATCTTACACGCATCGAAAATGAAAACTAATATTGCACGTGTAGAAGGAGAAAGAACAGAAATAGAATAGCATAGTTGATGATATTTGAAGTATTTGATATTTAGTCAAAGTCATGAGCGTGGTCGCTGAAGTAATTATCTTACACGCATCGAAAATGAAAACTAATATTGCACGTGTAGAAAGAGAAAGAACAGAAATAGAATAGCAGAGTTGATGATATTTCAAATGAAATATTAACGAAACAATAAACGCTCTTCCCTTACCACTAAATACAAAATACTGCAGTGTTCATGTGTACGTGAAGATTATGAAAAATAAGTAGGTACGTGGAATCAGAAAGTATTGGTGCATTTTGAATTCTGGGGAAAATTTTCTTAGTGTCTAAAGACTGGTTGCTTGTCGATTTACACTTCGCTTAGACATCTACACGTATGCCTGGCAACCGTTATCATTGTATGTGTTATTATAATCAATAGAAAATATTTTCAACATTCAGTTTGTGAATAGTTGTTACCAAGAATTGTTGGTTTGTTTGATCGAATACTTTTTGCCGGAGATAGTATTTCCAATGTGAATCCTAGCTAAGCACTACTTTTTGAGCTCTATGGTCCTTATCTACGTTGGTGCGCTTGCCATTCCACGTAGCATGCTCGATGCATCCGTCAAACGGCATCTCACTACATATACGTTTTCCCAAATTTCATATTTTAGAATGAAATATTGTTTGAACGAGAACAGATATTGTACCAAAAAATACTTCACTCTTCGATATGGCGCAAAATTTAAACACGGTAACACTTTTAGAAGTTATTTCAACAATATTTTATGGTACATCATTTTTTATGTGTAATACAAATTATATACATATATAAATACGTAGTTGCAGAGACAGAAGTTGGCGTTATTATATATGGAGGCCGATTTCTTTGAGTAATATTACGACAGAATTATTTTTTAATACTTCTTTGTCACTAGTTAGCATTGCTCACCGAGGTTGATAAAGTAGGTATATACTTATGTTAATCAATATCTATGGTTTATATTGCCTAGTAAATTTGTCGATTCAATAGTATTTCACAAAATATAATCATCAAATTATATCGTCACTTGTATTTTAAAGACT